TGTCCTGTCCGACAGATAAAGTAGCTTTTGCTCTTTTCCCTTGCAAGTACTTCATTTAGAGATAAGTTGCATGCAGTAATTCTCATTAACTTGCTGAAAACATTGGCCCAGAAAACCTTCCCCCAAATCCCCCTGAGCTGTGGCAGTTCTATTGTGCAGCACAGCAACAGCAGCTCCAGCATTCAGGAGCACACACTCGCTGCTTTGGAGTTTGCACTTCATTGCAAAGGGTATTGCTATTCTAGCACTCAGAAAAGGGTGAACTTAGTCAAATCCTTTCATGACAAAATTGAGAACAAAAGAAGCTTTCCCTCATTTGTGGGGAGAACCACAAAGTCTTAAGAAGGCCTTCTGAGAAGGTCTCTGCATTTTCAAAGCTATCCTGCTTGAGCCAGCAAACTGAGGAAAGGACAGACTCTGCTGCCACAGACTCTCCTGTGCAGGGAATGGAACCCTTGCAAATGCTGCGTGCAGACCCCTGGCTACAGGCATCCCGTTTTTTGCTAAACTTGTTGACAGGACCTTTAGCAAAGCAGTGGCATCCTTATGGTCTTTCTGTTTCAAAATCAACCCAGTGACTAAGAAAAAGCAGGAAGACCTACAAAATCCAGGTTAGGTTACATCCAAGGAAAACATCTACTTACATGCCAGGTTGGTCAGGTAATAGCCGGAATAAACAAAGCTGTAAACAGTGCAAACTGCAGCAGCGAGTGGCTCCATCACTGGAGCACTGCTGTGCCAGTTTGCAGACACTGCTCCAACACAAGAATCACAAGGCTCCTGTCAGTGTGCAGCTGCCCACTGACAAATGCCTCAAGCAGGAGGATGCTCCTGCACTGAGCAAGCCCAAGAGCTGCTCTGACACTGAGGCCTTCCGTGCACCAAGGCAACCTTCTGATGTCACCACGACAATGTGGCAGCCATGTCCTGACATCACAAAGCAAGTGTTCTGCCTTGGAATTTATGCAAATTTATGCAAAGTAACCCAACCTCCCCTACAGCAAACACCAAATAGCCTGGGAAGTTCTCCTCTGTCACAAAGCTGCACAAAGTCCCCTGGTGAAACAAACCCTGTTGTTCAAGGGATCCAAGAGTAAAAGCAAGAGTGGCCCAAGCACCTACAGCCTGTTCCCCAACTGAGCACTCACATGGGACCAAAGACGAGGCAACCGGACCAAGAGAATGGCCCAAAGCATTGCAAAGAACCAGGAAAGAAAGCACTGTTGCCATAACAGCTGAAATAATTCTTAACAAATCTCTCCACATATTTGCATATTTATTGGACTTGCCCAGGGCTCTTGTGTACATATATATCTGCCTTTATTCCCATTTGGAAGCAGTCAGACTGGCAGGATCTGCCCACCAGCAGCAGCAGCAGCATCTGCTCCAAGCTGGGAACATGAGTGGCAGTGCTGATTTCCAGAGGCTTCTGTCCCCCAGGTGAAGCCAAGGCAGGAGCAGGTTGAAAAGTGCTGGCGCTGCTGCTGCTGCTGCTGCTGCTCAGTGCCAGAGAGCTCTGTCTGGGCAGGGCACGGTGCCCACTGTGCTGTGGGCTCTTTCTCCTGCCAGATCTGGACACACCTGGGAACAAGTGATAATGACTTCTGGGAAAAACAAGGGGTTTTTTGGGAGCTGCATTACTCTGCACACACTCGGGGCACCTACAGTACAGAGCTTTGGCCTTCAAAAAAGGTAAACCAGAGAGAAACAGCTGGAAAATGTTTCATTTTTACCATTTTCTTTTTCTGACAGATTTAAATCACAACTCAGAATTTATTGACATGAGAGTAGGGGTATCCTGAGGCTCTCTGCTAGTCATTGTCATAGGTTCAGTGCCAGGGTCTTCATTTCTTCATGCAGGAACAGGAATAACACAGCACCAATAGGAGGATCAGATCATTTGTTTTTTCTCTAAGCTTGGTTACTTTTATACTGTATACAGATCTACTCATACAAGTATCTCCTGTAGAACTGGCTGCACACATCCTTGTAAGCATTTGTATTGGATAATTACATTTGTGTATATGGGACCACAACTTGTGTGTTCAACTTCTCTATCTCTCATCTCCTTTGGCTCTTCCTTTGTGTTCTTTTGCTGACCACAACTGTTCCTTCCCTGTCTGATAACCTTGCCCACCTTCTTAACTCTTTCTCTTTGAGGTGAAATTTGTTCTAACGCAGCTCAGGGTCCTACATCTCCCCTTCTTTTCTTTAAAATTGGAGGAACTAAATGGTGCAACATTTGTTGAATGCATTGTAACAAACAAGGAAGGATCAGCAGAAAGCTTAGAAATACAATCAGTAACATTATTGCCCTCTTGACCAAGGTCTGCCACCAACCCCTTAAACCCAAACTAGCAAGAAAAAGGATCATGTCATTCTCTAATATGCTTCATGTTTTCATGTAGTCCTGCCATTTGTTTATCAATATTTTGGGAGTGCTCAGATAAGTTAAAACAACACATTCCTTCAAAATCTTCACACCCATGTCCATGTGGTAATAACAAAAAATCTATAGCTGCAAGATTCTGCATGGGTGTCATGACTAATACTATCAACATCAGTTAGCAATTCACTCAACACTTTCTTAGTCAAATGCAACTGTTTGTCAACCCAACAGGCAAGACGAGCTTTATTTTTCACATTCCTGGCAGCCATTCCCTCTGTTAAATGGAAAGATGTTGCAATGACAGTCACCAATGATGGTAATTGCACATTAGCATTACAAGTCTCATCAAAATTCAAATGGATCGATGTGATCTTTGATGATGACTTTGACTGACATTCAATAAATTCCTCATGTAGGGGGCAAATAATTTTAGTGGACCAAGAGAGCATGGTCCACCAACAGGCCATCTTGGAATTCCAGGCCATGCTCGATTCCCACAAATCAAAAAGAATCATGGTGGGAGTTCCCACTCTCGAAGTGTTTCCTGTCAGACCCCCTGTTTTTAATCTGTTCCATGGAGATTGTCCTGTAACATTTGGATAACCTTCAAACAATGTTTTTCCTCCTTGCTCTTGTAACCAACTAATCCAAGGATCTCCAAACCAAACTACTCCTATACCATTAACTGCTTGCCACGGTGGGGCCATACTGTTGCAACTAGGCAGAACAGTAACATTGGGAAACAATGTTGGGAAAACACTGGCTAACAAATCCAGTTCTTGAAATGGAATAGGATATGATCAGTTCAAATTTGCAATTACTCTTTTCTGCCAGGCTGCATTGCACACAGACAGCCAAGTATACTGTCCCTTTGGACTGAGACAGTCATCACTTTTGCTGCTTCTTAAATTTACAATTTTCGGGTCCCACCAACCAGAAAAATCTGTTTTGTTCTCCTGAAGGGGAATGCCAATTAAGCAAGTTCAAAAAGGGTCATTGGCCTGCTGTAAACTGAGACAAAAATCCTGCATACCAGACACATTAGCCCAGGTTACCCAAACATTTCTTTGTGCTTTGTCCAAAAACACCCCTCACCATACAATGAAAAACCCCCAAAAATCAACATTAACATCGCCATGGGCGTGCACGTCACCATCATCTTTCTGCCTTGTCCCATTCAGGACTACTTGCCAACTTTGGGCAACTCCAACACCCAGACCACACTTGGTGTTCACTACCTTATTGCCTTGCCTAATACATAATAATGCGAAGCGTTTAAGAAGCTCAAAGCTAATGTCTGCTAATACTCTCTGTCCAAAATCTTCAATCTGTTTGAATGAGTTTAGAAACTGTTGTTGTTCACGCAGTACTCTGACTGCACCCCTTGGAGCATTCCCTCCAGACAACTGATCTAAGGATGGACCACAAAAGTCAGTCAACCATCGTGCTCTAGAGTAGGTAATAACCCGTGTGATACACGGCTGACACTTATACACCTCCTCTCTTTCACGTGCCCGAGTGACTCTCCAACTCTCTTGTTTACACCAAGTTAATAACTGCATTGGGCCCTCCCATAACCCAGTCAGAGGAGGAAAATATTTAACTTGAATATTTTTAAAAGTAAAATCAGGTTGGTTTGTTTGCATGTGTACTACTGCAGGAGGATGGTCTTGTCGTCCACCTACACTCAACCAATTTATAACTAATAATGGTTTTGCCAATATTTCATGGGGGGAACCCTCTATTTTCCCCTGTTTTTCCAAAGCAGTAAAGTGACTTTTAAGAATGTGATGAAAGCATTCAACAATTGCTTGGCCAGACGAACTATATGGGGCTCCAAGGAGAAGTTGAATACCCCAATGTTGTAAAAAATTAGCAGTAGAAGTGGCTCAATATATGGGACCATTATCAGTTATGATCCTCTTGGGGCATCCCATCACAGCAAAATTTGGAGTCCTTCTCCAAAGTTGCTGAGCCGCAGCAGCTGAGGCAGATGAATGGGCAGAAGCCCACACAAATGCTGAGCAAGTATCCACTGACATATGCACATAATGTAATGGTCCAAAAGGTGAAAATTCAGTAACATCAGTTTGCCAAACTCTTGGGGCTGGAGTCCCCGAGGATTAGCTCCTCCATCTTGTACTGGTGTCAGAATAGTGCTCTCAGGACATGCTGCAAGCACCGCTCGAGCCAGTGTTTTTCAAATTCCAAATTGTTTACAGAGAGCAGCAGCAGATTGATGAAAGACAGTATGTGATCAGGATGCCTCTTGAATAGTGTGACCTTTGGAGAGGATGAAAGAAGAAGAGCCTTCCCCACTTACAAACCATACCAAAGGAGCCATCAATGTCACTTTCCAACTCTAAGAAATAACTGGCAATTCAGAAGGAAATGTTGAGCTTTCTCAAAGGGTCAGGAGGAAGGGAATCATCCAAAAGAGATAAGGCTTCAGAAACTTTATGGATTTATAATCCTACTCTAAAATCCAACTCTACATTACTACTCTACAATCCGACTTTCTAATCTTACTCTACATTACTACTCTACAATATTACTCTAAGCTGGCCATGGAGAAAACTGTTCTAATTTGATTAAAACATTATTGTTCTCTCCTTTCACTGCTTCACGGAAAGGATGAGTGGCACCAGGCTGGAGCCAGGCTTGGCCGATGTTACAAATTGATGCTGCAGAAAGGAAAAGGAAACAAGAAGAAAGCATGATTTTCCAAGCTAAGAGCTTCAAAGGCAGGGGAATATTTTTTAAATGAAAAGGGCATTGAGTAGGTCTAAGGAGCATGGGGCAGCAGTGGCATAGGTTGGCCCAAGAGCTGGTAGGTGCCCCACCCCTGGAAATAGCTCAGGTCTGAGTATCCTGTTCCCTTTAAAGATGTCCTTGCTCTCTGCAGGGCACTCGGACCACATGTGCTTTACAGGTCCCTGCCAGCCCTGCCCAGTCTAGGATTCCTCATCATTCTCAGAAGAACAGCACCAAGATTGGAAGGGAGGAGGAGGGGGGGCACATCTGATGCCTTGGAATTCAGTGGAGAAGGAGACACCATCCCTCAGCCACTGTTTCACCTGCAGCCCCCTTGGCATTTTACCTGCAGGAGCTCCTCAGCAGACCAGCGCTGTGCCTCGTCTGTCTGCAGGCAGCAGCTCAGGAAGTCACGCAGCAAAGCTGAGAGGAGTTTGGGCTGCCGCAGCTGTGGGGTCCCTCCTTTGGCTATCAGGAGTTGAACCTGGAGCAAACAGAAACACAAGGCTCCACCTGCTTCTTTCCCATCTGCAACTGCTCTCCCAGAGCCCATTGTTTCAGCTCCACTCTGCAGTGGCAGATTTTGCCCTGGCAGAGAGACAGAGATGACTTCCCTGTATCATCAAAAAACACAAGCCCCAAAGCAGCCCCAGCTTTTCCAACATCCTGCAGGTCTGGCTTTGGCAGCTGATTTCATGGACTGATCTAGTTAGTGGGAAAATAAAGACATGCAAATACATGTTTTCTTCTCTGAGGATTCACACCAGCTTGACAGGCTTCTTGGATGAGGGATTTTGCTATTCTAACTAACTCTACTCTTTCCAAGGATTATTACATAAAAGGCATCTCTGCAGTGCTTGTTTGTCCCTTAAGCAGAGCTGCCATAAAACAAAACTCATCAAGCTTTTTATCCTGTTGTTGAAAACAATGGTAATTGGAAGAAAAGAAAGGAAATGCCCCAGGTACTTTTCAGGGAAGGAAACAAACATTTGGGATCCCCTATTCAACAGAGATACATTAAGATGCCTCCCCAAATGTATTGAGATAAAAATGCCTGTTTGGGCACACAGGAGTCACCTGCAGCTTTGTCTCTCTGCAGTCCGAAAATTTCAGGTTCCCTTATGTGGAAATAGGAAAACATTCCTGGTGAAATCTGAAGAAAGAGAAGTGTCATCCCTTTGCTAAGCCTCTGCTCGTTGGATACTCAAGTCAATGCATAAATGCTGGGCCCATCCCAGAAAGTGGCAGGAAACAAACTGGAGGTTTTGGCAGGCTTTCCCCATCACCAGGCTCCAGCTTGCTGATATGGAGAAAGTGGCTTGGCTTACGAACAAGTATGATCACTAAGTGTTTCAGCAGCACGGCACAAGAAGCAGCAGGGACTCTGTGGCTTTAAACCATCCTCTCCAGGTTGCAGGCAAGTTTCCCCGTGAGAAGAATGGGGGTGCACTTCTTCTCTCAAAACCACTATTTTAGAAACTTTGTTTGGTTTGAGTTTCTTTCCTTCATTGCTGGAAAAAATAGCACCAGTTCTAAGATGATTTTTTCCTGTTATTAGGGCCATCTACACAGCCAAAAGAGCTGGAACGATAACCCACAGCAAAATGTTGCCTGAGAATGGAGATTGTTTGCATGGGGTAAGGCTTGAATTGCCCCACTGATGCAACCAAACCTAGAGCTGATGCTGATGTGCTGCAGGGACATTTCTAGAAGGGGGCCTCGGTGGAAATACTTGCAGCAGATGGCAGTGGTATTAGGGCATCTCCTCATGGTTCTTTGATTTGGACTTGATCTTTTTTTATTGAGTTTTATGTTATCTTTTATGTGTCTTTATATTTTTCTCTCTCTAGAGAGAGGATTATGGTCTCTAGGTCTTCTCTCTGCAGTGAAAGAGTTAATATCTCACCCAGGCCTGCAGATGGATATGAT